GTTTTCAGTTTATTCAATTTTATACCAAAATACATCATTATTTAGTTTGAAATCATATTATATATTATAAAAATAAATAATATGATCATCTTTAGAGTCATATTGTCAAAAAGTCATTTACTAAAAAAAATATGATATATTTAACTAAAAGAATAAAAAACAAAAAAGGCTTCTATGATCTAATAAAATGATCAAATCTAGAATTAATATCAAATCTCTAAATTTTGAAAATAAAAATAAAAACAAAACAAAAACATGACAAAAAAGTTTTTATATTCTTCCATGTTTAGTGTTCATCAAATTAATATGTCTTCGATTGAACACAACTCTGTTTGTTTAAAGATTAAAAAAAAAATTGTAAAGAATTTCAACTAATTGTTGTCCATCAAATTTCTAATTTTTACTTCAATTTAGTTTTTATTATAAAAAAGAAAAAAAATAAAAAGACGAAGAAAATAAGAAGCGTCAGTTGCATTAAATTGTTAGTTAATTATATTTCAAGTGATTCAAGTGATTTACAAATCATAATTATAGTTCAACTCATGTAACAAATAGATATACATATTTACATGTTTCAGTTTAATCGATTATAAATCAAATCATATCCAAATCTTACAGTTTTTATAAAATCACATACATTCGGTTTGTATGGTATATACCAAAAATAACCATATTATCGATTGTGTTAATATCTTTAAAAAATAGAAAATTAAAAAAGAACTAATATATTTAAATCATTGATAACAAAAAATTTCAATGTGAAAAATTTACTACGTTTATAATTTATAAATGTTCTTGAAAATTCATTGAAAATTTTGAAATTAAAATAATTATGTAATCTTATATGGTATATAGTTTAATCTATATATATATATATATATATTTTATTATTGAATGATAGTTTTTACTCATATGGTTTTAAAATCATGTGTATCTTTTTATAATAAAAATGTTAAACTATTGATCATTAATTTTTAACATAATAATTTTAATAGTTTTAGTCATTTATTCTTGGTTTTTTAAATTTCAAAATATAAAATATACGGAAAAAATCTAAAGTTTAATTTTATAGCTAATTTGATTGTTTGATTTATTTTAATAATATAAAATCAAAGAAAAATGATGGAGGAGATACAAATTGTTATCAAATATTTATTATTAGAAACATTAATTGACATATATATATATATATATATACTAGGTGATTTTCCCGTGCTCATGCACGGGTATGAATATTCATAAAAGTAAAATTTTATAATAACTGATTGATATTTAGTTTTAGTTTTGAATCAATTTATATGTATAATTTATATTAATAAATATTATATTATTCTAATTATACATATGACTTGGATATATTATTGTCGATTTTATTATTTTTTGGATTAAAAGTCGGTTTTGTTATCAATTTGACATATTGGACAATATCTATTTTTCAGGTTCAGATATAATATTTTTTATTCTAAATATAATAAGATTTTGATTAATTTTCTTATTTTCATTTCGGTTGGTTATTATCTTAGATATGTAAATATATTCTTAGATATGTAAATATACTATGGTTAAATTATGTATAGCTTAATATATATTGTGCTTAAAATGAAATCAATAATAAGCTGAAGTGTTTGATTCAAAATTACATAAATGAATATAATGATAATATTTTGAAGTCTCATGCATATATATAAATTCTACAAAATAATTAAATTGTAATTGGTTAATATTTTCTTTTTATTTTTAATATGCTTTGAGTCAACCTTTAATTTATATGTATAAAATTAATTATACTATTATTATTTATTATTATTATTATTATAAATTATATGTTCTTATTGTAGTTAGATGTTTAATTTTGGATAGAAATAGATTAGCCGAGTCATTCATTTTGTGAGTATATTGAATTAAATATATTTTTAAATTAAAATTGATGTATACTTACTTTTTGTTTTATTTAAGTCAAATCAAATTAGGTTTATGTATCGCTTAAATATACATGAATTTCATAATATTTATTTACTCTTTATTTTAGTTAAGTCAAATCAAATAAGTTTTATTTATCGCTTAAATATACATGTATTTTCATAATATTTATCAAAATATATGTTGATTTCCAAAAAATATTAGAAAATAAAGTGTAACTAATAAATCTTTAGATGTTCATGAACATATAAATTTTTAATATTTTGAAAATATATTTTATGTTATATAAAAATATATATTAATGGTGATATTACTATATTGTGAACTTTCCTTTTTAATAAAGTTAGACATATAATTTCGTTTTAAAATTTGTTTTAAAATTTTAGAAATATTTCCTTTTTATTATATATGTTATTTGGAAAAAGGTAAAAAAGAAACTAAATAAAATAAAATTAATAATAATCTTAAAATCTAACAATTCATTAAGGGTATCTATGTAATCAACCATCGCGAGAGTTAACGTGAGAGCGACACGTAGGAAACTGACTTCTCAAATAATATTATAGAGATATATTTGTCTTTTATGGTAATTCCGTAGCTTTTATTTAAGGAAAGAAAATAAAATAGTAATTATATCTAGCAGGACAATCATAAATGCTTCTATCATAAATATCATATCATATAGTTTGACCAACAAATATATCTAGCGACATATAAAAATCGAATGTGGACCTACTTATTTTTCAATTGAATGTAATTGACTACCTAATTGAGTGACACGTAAGCATGAGCTCTTTTTTAATTATTACAAATTTGAGGTTACAATTTTTCAAATGTTTCTCAATTAATATATAGAGAATTAAGTTATATTTAAATTATTCATGTTTTACCTTTAAGATATCTTAAGGTGATATACTAATTGGTGGAAGTGCTCTTAGTTTGTCATTCACTATAAATAAGCTTTTGTAATCCGAATATTAAGATTGAAGGTGTTATATTAGTTTTGGTATTTACAACTGCTATATGAATTCTATATGGGGATGTATGGATCAACTAATAGGACAATTTTGTATGAAATATTATAGTCAAATGATGCATATATGCATATAAAAATTTAAAGGATGATTTATTACTAGTTTCTCAGTTTTCAGTGTACAAAAAAGTTTTATCAAAATGAAATTTTTTATCTCTTGGCCAAGGGAAGCAAACCATTGCACACTCTTTTGTAACTTTGAGCACACACGTTAGATGAATTCACGTTCCAAAATCCTAAAACGCTATTTCTCGCGGAGATCATCTCAGACCTTTAGATGCTTAACGAATTTATAATTTTCGGTTAGTTCATAGGCGCATGAAGAAAATTCAAAGAAAGAGACATTAGGATTTGTTGCTGACCTTGATCCTACGGTGCAATCTTCTATTCTTCTTAGTAGCTAATCTGACAGTTATTGTATGTTTTCATCGTCTTGGGTTTGGGCCAAGAAGATTGGATTTTACCATAAAAGCTTTGGTGATCACCATCTAATTTATGCTACTTTACACAGGAAAAATGCAGGGCAGAGCAAAAAAACAAAAGTCTTGTTTACGGATATAAAATAATCACACATGATAAATGTTAGTTTGGTACTAAACATCATACACAGAACATAAATCAACATATAATGAGGTTAGTAAGTAACATCTATACGCAACAGAATATGATCAAATGTAAAGTTGAATAAACTAACTTGGTGCTCAAGTCTCTCTCTCTCACTTGGATGGGTTTATGCAGCACCAGCTGAAGTAAACCTCCGCATCATGTCACAATGCGGTGTCTCACGGACACACTTCCTAGTGTTGTCTCTATTTCTCATTCCGACAATACTGTCCCAATGCAGACAAATAACCTCCGTCAACTTGTGCTTCAACCTTCTGTCTCTCGGAGCTACCTATCGGATACTCCTCCTCAAACTTATCAAAGAAACAGACACAAATAATAAAGAAGCCGTCGCTCTCTCCTCTCTAAAACCTAAAAGCCTCCAACCTTCGTCTTGCTTCGATCTGCTCTGGTGGCCGTTAGTCGGGCGCATGGCCACCGGAGGCTTCTTCCACTCTTCCTCTTCTTTGTGTTTTTCTCCGTCTTCACCCTCTTTCGTCAAGCCGTCGAGATGCTTGGTGCTCTGGAAGGAGCTCCGCCATGGGGTCCCTAATCTGCTCCAGGGGGATTAAATCCGTGGTTGGTTGACTCCGATTTGGAGTTCCGGTGAGGTGTTGAGGGTTGGGGTACGGCGAAGTGGGCGTTTAGGGTTTAGCTTTTGGCGGCTCCCGGTTTTAATTTGCAGATCCCGTCGGAGTTCTCGAGTTGGAGGCGTGTGGAGGTTCGGTGGTCTCTCTCCCTATGATCGTGTTGTTGTTTGATTTGAAGAATTTTTCTTCGTTGTGGAGAGGAGGGAAGAGCTTGCCTCTTACTTTCGACTTGTGGTGTTGCCGATGGGTTATAGGTTTTGTCTCTCTCTCAGGGCTGTTACTTGTCGCTGGCACGTCCATGGCGGTGTGGTGGCTGTGTAGTAGCTACACTGTTGTGGGTTTGGCGTGCGTAGCTGTGGGTGAAGTCCGGTGTCCTGTCGTCTATGTTTGTGCTCCTTTCACCTCATGGCTGCTCTTCCTTTGCATCATTGTCTCCATTTCACTAGCGGTTTGCTTTGACCTTCTATGGTCGGAGTTGGTTTAGGACCTGCTTCGGTTCTCTCCTCGTTTCTCCATTGTGGTGTTTTCCTGAAGCGTGAAGAAGACCGGTACATGTTCTCTATACCGGAGCTAGGATTTGCCAATTAGTTATGACTGGGTCATGTGGGTCTTGTCGTTGATGTGGAGACCTGCTTAAGATATTGTCATCCCAGTGCGCGGAAAGTCAACATCGCTTGGTCTACTTCGAAGACGGTTCTTTTCTTCTTTGCAGGTTCTGAAGATTGTGGTTTGGTGTTGCCTCCTTCTCAGCCCATTGTTTTAGGTAGGTGGTTCAATGGCGGCGGTAGCGAGTGTTTACTCGTTTTGGGCTGTGTTTCAAGCGTTGTGTGGCGTTACGTACAATCCCGGCTTTGATGGCATTTGCAAGGCTTTGTGGTAAGTATTTGGAACCATCCTCGATTGGTCGTCTGGTGCTTTAAAGAAAGTGATGGTTATAAGCTTTGTGGAGTTCATCGGGACCTAGCTACTCCGGAGACGACATGGGAAGTCCCGGCATCCGAGGGCTCATATTTCCGTGATCATCGTCAATGGTTGAGAACGGCAACCAATTCCAAAGAATGTCGAAAAACGGACTAGAGCACTGTGTCGGGTTTAGTGAGCGGGCGAAGCTAGTTTATAATAGTCCGACTTTGGAGATTTTGCTCAAAGCAGGTTTGTAATCAGATCTGATTTCCCGATTATTCGGGTTGAAGAAATAAATATATATATATTAAAAAGAACTTTATTAAAATAGAAAAAATAAAAAACTTATCCGAAAAAACTTATGCGTAGTGAACCTGTGCTCGTACTGGTTGATATGACATAGTTTTTATGAGTTTTAAAGTCTGGTTTTGTTTGATTTTGATCATTTAAATTTCATATTAGGTGTATATATTGCATAGTGTGTTCATTTGCATATAATAGGGGTTGAATAGCACAATTAGAAGTTTTGGGCGAAATTGAAAAGCTATCCTTGCAAATTACAAAGTTTGGGGCAGAAATGAAAAACCACAAGAAATCAGGGATCAAGGTTGTAATTTCATAATTTTTGCTTGGGTTAAATTGTTCAATTGAAAGTCCTGGGATTAATTCGAGAGGGCGTGTCTGAATATTCTGAATGTGGCTGAGTTGTAAACAAGCAGAAGTGGAGGACCTGTTCTGCAAAAATGAAGAAACCAGCCATTAGCTGATGACAGCGAGCCTTTGCGAGCAAAACACGGACGGAGTTGAGCAGGAGGAGGATCTGAGACTCCGGCCACTTGAGTGAGCCATGTGAAGACCTTGACGATTTGAAGCTCGGCGGAGATGGACCTTGAAGCTATGGAGGAGCTTGCCGTAGGAGATTTACGGAGCTGGATGAGCAGCTTTCGCGGAGACACGTGATGACAAGACGCGGAACAGTTGACCACCGGTGCTTCTGGCCGCAGCACAAGCTCAGCCACGACGACTACTGAAGCTTGAGACGAAGAAGGTGAAGTCGAAGCTCTAGCAATCTCAGGGGCTTGACGTAGCTTCGTCGCTTGGCCACAAGCTCTATCTCCAAGTCCAAGTCCCCGTTTGATATCGACATGATGCAGTGGTCAAACGTAACCGCTGGGAATAAAGCGAGTTTTGGGAGCGGCTTGATGGAGCGGGCAAGGGAGACCGCTGCAAAGAAGACAACTTCTAGATTTCAAGATGTTGACCGGTTTAATCTGGTTTGACCTGGTTTAATTTAATTAAACCAGCATGAGTTTGGACTCAGTTTTAGACCTCAACAATCCTAATCTATCTCATTTTCTTTTAAGAACTTGCCTCTTATTGTAAAAGTTTGAATCTTTCATCATTTTAAAGAAATACTTCATTTTAGATTTTGTTTCTCATTCTCATTAACATGATTAGCCTTGAATCTATTATGGTTTAAAGTTTCTCATGGAAATTAGAGAGTAGACACATTTTGGATTCATGGGTTAAGGTAGATTAGAGTGATCAAGTGTAGATCTAGGGTGTTTTATTGTAGATCCTTCTTATTTCTTGCTTGTTGAGTGATCACAATGCTATTTTAGAGTTGTCCTCTCTAAGATAGATCTCTAGGCATTTCACACCCGAGATGTGTTCGATGAAATGCACTAACCAATTCTTCAATGCTTTTAGCTTGCTTTGTCAAAGAGATTTGATGTCAAAGGTGCTAGGATTGCTATTAAACTTGTTCTGCATGATTACTTTAATAATATTCAACCAAAGAGATTTGATGCTTGAGTTATTTTAGCAAATGAGCTTCCATGTTGAGAAAGAGTTTGCTTAGTGTTGTGTCTAGGCATAAAGTTGATAGATTGATTGAAAGTTTTCACATTTAGATTGAACCTTGATTACCTTATATCAATTATCCTTATCCATGGATCCATCCTTAGCATTTGATTGAGTTCTTGTACTTGTTTCTTGATTGGATTTCAAATCACCTTGTTCATATTTCTAGGATCTTAGCTTGTTACAAATCATCCATCTTCTATTTTCTTAGATTAGGAGAGTTTGTGTATTCTTGGTGTATAAATCTCTAGTTCTCTATGGATTCGACAATCTTTTGTACTACATTGATTTGACCTTGGATCCTTGAAAATCCTATTATCACTGGTGCGATGAAGATAGCGAGTAGATTGGTTGAAGAGAAGGCAGGAAGTTGAGTAGTAGTAAGAACAACACAGGAAGTATCTGGAGGACCACACGAGGGTTGAATGTTGTATCAGATGCTTGATTGGCTGTACATCTATATTATTAAAACTAAAGTACAAAATCGGTTTTACTATTCTTTCAACCAAACATACAAAAAAGGAATAAAATTTTACGGTTGGCTCAGAATATCCACTACACAACTTAAGCATGTTTTACACTTCCTTAAAATCCGCACGGCTCTCTTCTTCTCTTCCAAGGTAGTTACCATATATTTGATACAAATCAATTAATAAAATCAGTTATCTCAGAATATCCACTTCCTCAAACACGTAATATTCTCACAATATATGGAAACCGTAACTCCTCTTAACTTACATTGTTTACCTATCTATATGTCGCTTCTAACTAACATCCATACACAAACATAAAATCATGGCTGCCGCAAGAAAAACGGTTTTATCAATGATTTCATGCCTTATAAAGATGAATGGCGAATTCGTCTCAAGTTTCTTCATTCATGGAAACCGAAGAACAAGTATGGTGGAGAAACTCTTGAGTTCATCCTTGGTGACGAAAATGTAAGAACAAAAATTTTATTTTTTTTATATATGTGATGTCAAAGTTTTAATAATATAGATACTACTGTTTACAGGGTCAAAAAATTCATGCATCATGCAGCACTAAACGTTTCTCACATTACTATATATTTATTTTGCAACACTATATATATTAAATTGAATCTATTTGCTTACTGAAACAGATGTAAATTAAAAATGTAAATTAATTTTATTTAGAAAACATTAACGTTGACCATATTTGGTATTTTATGTAGTTATTATCCATCATTATATGTAGATAATATATTATTTAGATCAAAAAAATATGTCATTATCTATATGATGTTACATATCAAATAAGATTTACTATATCATAGCTGATATCATAGCACATATAAATATATAAAATATGATTCATTATATGATGGTACAAATATAACATTAATATAACTTTGTAAAAAAATTGGGTCAGAATCTAGTGCATAGTTAAAAGAAAATACTTTTCACAAGGATTGCGCGACAAACTGCTTTGACGTTTTTCACATCGACATGCGAACAGTGTGTCAGGTAAATTACTAAACGACAAGGCGTGTATCTAGGGATCTTGGTTATGTGTCCTCTCTTTTCTTGAGTTGTTACTCACTTTATGTTTATTGGTTTTTATTTTTTTATTTTTTTGAATAATATGGTGTATCCTGGCATCCACCAAGGTGGATCCAGACTAGTGGCGAGTGTCCGTATCGGTCTACGTTATCGGCCGGAGTACGCCTCGGTCACCGGATGCTGAGAGAACCCAAATTTTAAATTTTACCCCCAGTGGCCAGCGGGATTCGAATCCGAGTCCGTATTGGGGCCGAAGCTCCCTCAAGACCAAAAGAAAACTTTATAACTTCAAATATAGAGTTTTTTGTGTTCTAAAAAAAATCAAAATTTCAAATTTGAAATTTTAAATAGTGAAATTCTATATTTGAAGTTTCAATACTCAAGACTCTAAATTTGAAGTTTTATCCTTTTAACTGCATTATGGTCCTTACAATTATAAATTTATTTAAAAATTTTGTTTATCGTTTTGATCCTTAAATTTTTTTATATCTCGTAAATATTTCAAATTAACTTTTACCTAAAATTTAAAATAATTGCTTGTAATTTAGTATTTCAAATATTTTAAAATTAAAATTACACAACAAAAATGTGGTATTCTATTCGTAGTAATCATGTATTTGTATTTATAATTTTATATATTTAGTGTAAGATTTTATTTATTAATATTGTTGCATATTTTATATATATGAGTTTGTTATTTATCAATATTTTATGAATTTTACATTAACTATGAAAAATATAAGGATCAAAATGTAAAATATAAATGATTTTGAAGTTTTGATTTTGGAGAAGAATACCTTGAAACTTCAAATACAGAATTTTAAAACCTTCAAAATAGAGAGTATTTTTGGAGATGTCACTAAACAAGAGTATAGATGGTATGCATTTAGAAAACATGCATACATAGACAAGAGATTCGAGAACAACACAAAACCAGAAAGAAGATAAATGGCTCTACTAAGATATTCATATGATCCATAAGATGATAACTTAGAAGGCAGCCTAACTAGTCACGAAGTCATAAAACACCTTTCATAAGCTTCATGTTCTCAACATGGTTTAGAAAGGTGCAAACTCTACGTTTCACAAACCCTCCCATTCCTTGGATTTCAACTCTTCTGATAGTTCCCTTCTCCATACTGTAGTAGAAAACATAGAAAGGGTTGGATGGATCATTGTGCTCTGAGAACACAATTTCATTTGAACCAGTCACTCCAACACAAAAGATGGACATCGGAACTACACTCTTCCACTGGGGAGGCAGTTTGTAACTATGCATGTACCATTCCTTTTTTTCAGGGTCATCCAAAACCCACATCTCAAAACTTGTACATGTTCCAAAAATATTAGACCCTTTCGGCGTAAGTGAAGCCAGTTTACCCTCGTAGTTGATCAGGGTTGTTTCTGTACGACACAATGCTCTAGTAGTGAAAGGCTTTGTAACTTTAATAAAGCTGAACTTCTCAGATCTAACATCAAAGCAAATTATCATAACTTCGGCCTCCGAAGAATTCATCATGGGTGTAGCTCCGTAATACAAAACACCATTAATGCATACCACTACAAGAAAAATGGCTTTTATTAGCGGACGAAAAAGGTTATCTATCAATACGATAGCGGTTTATGAAGCGTTGTATCATCGCCCGTCATAATAGCTCAAGCACTTTAGATAGCGGTTTTTTGCACTGCTATTTTATTGTCATATACTATAGCGTTTTTTTGTATGCAATTAAAGAGTCTTTAATAGCATGATTTTTTTTGTTATTATTTACTTAAAATTTAGAGTGA